GGTAGGTCGTTGCGGAAGTCGAAAGGAGTGTTGGTGTATTTTTCAATTCAGATTTTCGATATTTCGTGCCGTTCTCGAGATATATGAGGAAATATGAATATCGGGACTAGAAAAAAATTCATCAGAAATAATACTTTTCCAATTTTTCTCTTCCAGCGAAGAGGCAATTTTGAGTACCAATGTATAGAGACTTTTACATTGGTTGTTCTGAGTTTAATCGATTTCCGGGCGAAAAACACACACTTGTCACTCACTTTTTTTTTTCAATGAACTTAGAATTATTCCGAGTCATGACGTCGTACTAATTTTTTTGTTTCTCGTAAAACGGTGTTCGGACTTTCTCCATGTGGTGCCTATGCGGAAGTCCACAAGGGTGTTGGGGTATTTTTTTATTTCAATTCTTGAAATTCATTGCCATTCAGGAGATATTTGAGAAAATATGAATACCGGGACTTAAAAAAGATTCATCAAAAATAATACTTTCTCAATTCTTTTTTCCAGTGAACAAGCAATTTTGAGTAAAAATTTATGAAAACTTTTTCGTTGGTCGTCCTGATTTCTATCGTATTTTGGGCAAAAAACATACACTTGTCACTCCCCTTTTTTTTCAATTGACTTTGAAGTATTTCGCGTCATGACGTCGTACTAACTTTATTGTTTTTCGTGATACGGTGTTCGGACTTTCTCCATGTGGTAGGTCTTTGCGAAAGTCGACAAGGGTGCTGGACAATATCTCGATATATATTCTCGATGTTTTGTGCCTTTCTAGAAATATTTGAGAAACTATGAATATCGGGACTTGAGAAAATTCAACAGAAATAATAATTTTCCAATGTTTTTCCCAGTAAAGGGGCAATTGAGTAGCAATATATAGAGGATTTTTTGTTGATCGTCCTGATTTCTATCGAATTTTGGGCAAAAAACCTACGATTGTCACTCACCTTTTTTTTTCAATGAATTTTTTCGCGTCATGACGTCGTACATTTTTTTTTTGTTTTTCGTGATATAATGTTCGGACTTTCTCCATGTGAAAGGTCGTTGCGGAAGTCGACAGGAGTGTTGGTGTATTTTCCGATTCAGATCATCGATATTTTGTGCTGTTCTCGAGATATTTGAGAAAATATGAATATCGGGACTTGAAAAAAATTCATCAGAAATAATACTCCTCCAATTTGTCTCTTTCAGTGAAGAGGCAATTTTGAGTGCCAATGTATAGGTACTTTTTCGTTGGTCGTCTTGATTTCTATCGAATTTCGGGCGAAAAACATACAATTGTCATTCACCTTATTTTTTCAATGAACTCAAAATTATTTCGCGTCATGACGTTGTTCTTATTTTTTTGTTTCTCGTGAAACGGTGTTCGGACTTTCTCCATGTGGTAGGCCTATACGGAAGTCGACAAGGGTGTTGAGGTATTTTTCGATTGAGATTTCCGAAATTCATTGCCGTTCAGGAGATATTTGAGAGAATAGGAATATCGGGACTTGAAGAAATTCCATCAGAAAGGATTCTTCTCTAATTTTTCTCTTCCAGTAAAGAGGCAATCAGGAGTAACAATGTATTGAGACTTTTTCGTTGGTCGTCTCGATTTCTATCGAATTTCGGGCGAGAAACATACAATTGTCACTCACCTTTTTTTTTTTCATGAACTTAGAATTATTTCGCGTCATGACGTCGTACTAACTTTTTTTTTTTTCGTGAAACGGTGTTCGGACTTTCTCCATGTGGTAGGCCTATGCGGAAGTCGACAAGGGTGTTGATTTATTTTCTGATTTAGATTTTCGAAATTCATTGCCGTTCTCGAGATATATGAGAGAATATGAATATCGGGACTTAATAAAATTTCATCATAAATAATACTTCTCCAATTTTCCTCTTCCAGTTAAGAAGCAATTTTGAGAACAAATGTATAGAGACTTTTTCGTTCTTGATTTCTATCGAATTTCAGACGAAAAACATACGATTGTCAGTAACCTTTTGTTTTTCAATGAACTTAGAATTATTTCGCGTCATGACGTCGTACTACTTTTTTTTGTTTTTCGTGAAACGGTGTTCGGACTTTCTCCATGTGGTAGGCCTATGTGGAAGTCGACGAGGGTGTTGGAGTATTTTTTGATTTAGATTTTCGAAATTCATTGCTGTTCTCGAGATATTTGAGAGAATATGAATATCGGGACCTAAAGAAATTTCATAAAAAATAATACTTCTCCAATTTTTACTTCCAGTGAAGAGGCAATTTCGAGTAACAATCAATGTAGTTTTTTTCTGTGGTCGTCTTGATTTCTATCGAATTTTGGGCGAAAAACATACACTTGTCACTCAAATTTTTTTAGTCGATGAAAGAATTATTTCGCGTCATGACGTCGTACTAATTTTTGTGTTTTTCGTGATACAATGTTCAGACTTCCTCCATGTGGTAGGCCGTTGCGGAAGTCGACAAGGATGTAATTGTATTTTGCTATTCAGATTTTCGAAATTCATTGCCGTTCTCGAGATATTTGAGAAAATATGAATATCGGGACTCAAAAAAATTTCATCAAGAATGATACTTTTCCAATTTTTTTCTTCCAGTAAAGAGGCAATTTTGAGTAACAATGTATTGAGACTTCTTCGTCTTGGTCGTCTTGATTACTATCGAATTTCGGGCGGAAAACATACACTTGTCACTCACTATTTTTCTCAATGAACTTGGAATTATTTCGCGTCATGATATCGTACTGATTTTGACGTAGTACAAATATTATTGTTTTTCGTGATATAATGTCCGGACTTTCTTCATGTGGAAGGTCATTGCGGAAGTCGGCAGGAGTGTTGGTGATTTTTTCGATTCAGATTTTCGATATTTTGTGCTGTTCTCGAGATATTTGGGAAAATATGAATATCGGGACTTTAAAAAGATTCATCATAAATAATACTTCCCCAATTTTTCTCTTCCAGTGAAGAGGCAATTTTGAGTACCAATGTATAGAGACTTTTTTGTTGGTCATCTTGATTTCTATCGAACTTCGGGCAAAAAACATACAATTGTCACTCACCTATTTTTTTTCAATGAACTTAGAATTATTTCGCGTCATGACGTCGTACTAACTTTTTTGTTTTTCGTGAAACGGTGTTCGGACTCTGTCCATGTGGTAGGCCTATGCGGGATTCGACAATGGTGTTGAGGTATATTCAGATTTGAATTTTTAATATTCAGTGCCGTTCTCGAGATATTTGGGATAATGAATATCGGGACTTTAAAAAATTTCATCAAGAATAATACTTTTCCAATTATTTTTTCCAGTGAAGAGGCAATTTTGAGTAACAATTCATGAAGACCTTTTCCATTGACGTCTAGATTGCTATAGAATTTTGGGCGACAAAACATACACTTGTCTCTCACATTTTATTTCGCGTCATGACGTCGTACAATTTTTTTTGTTTTTCGTGATGCGGTGTTCGAACTTTCTCCATTCGAAATATTTCAGGAAATATGAATATCGGGATTTGAAAAAATCTCATCAGAAATATTACTTTTCCAATTTTTTTCCAGAAAAGAGGCAATTTTGAGTAAAAATGTATAGAGAATTTATCGTTGATCGTCTTGATTTCTATCGAATTCTGGGCAAAAAACATACAATTGTAGCTCACCTTTTTTTTTTTAATGAAGTTAGAATCAAGTAGCGTCATGATGTCGTACATTTTTCTTTGTTGTTCGTGATATAATGTTAGGACTTTCTCCATGTGGTAGGTCTTTGCGAAAGTCGACAGGAGTGTTGGGGTATTTCTCGATTCAGATTTCCGATATTTTGTGCCGTTCTCGAGATATTTGAGGAATTATGAATATCGGGACTTGGAGAAATTTCATCAGAAATAATACTTTCCCAATTCTTTTCTCCAGTAAACAGGCAATTCTGAGTAACAATTATTTATGAAGACTTTTTTGTTGGGCGTCTTGATTTCCAATTTTTCTCTTTCAGTACAGAGGCAATTTTGAGTACCAATGTATAGAGACTTTCTCGTTGGTCGTCTTGAGTTCTATCGAATTTCGGGCGAAAAACATACACTTGTGACTCACTTCTATTTTTCAATGAACTTAGAATTATTTCGCGTCATGACGTCGTACTGATTTTTTCCTTTCTCCTGATACGGTGTTCGGACTTGCTCCATGTGGTAGGTCTTTGCGAAAGTCGACAGGGGCGTTGGTGTGTTCTTTGATTTAGATTTCCGATATTCGGTGCCGTTCTCGAGATATTTGGGAAAATATGAATATCGGGAACAATTTATGAAGACTTTTCCGTTGGTCGTCTTGATGTCTATAGAATTTTGGGCGATAAACATACACTCGTCACTCACTTTTTTTTTCAATGAACTTAGAACTATTCCGCGTCATAACGTCGTACTAATTTTTTTGTTTTTCGTGATTCGGTGTTCGGACTTTCTCCATGGGTAGGCCTTTGCGAAAGTCGACAATGGTGATATTATGTGCCGTTCTCGAGATATTCGAGAAAATATGAATATCGGGAATTTGAAATATTTCATCAAAAATAATACTTTTCCAATTTTTTTCTATCAGTAAAGAGGCAATTTTGAGTAACAATGTATTGAGACTTTTTCGTTGGTCGTCTTGATTTCTATCGAATTTCGGACAAAAAACATACGATTGTCACTCACCTTTTTTTTTCGATGAACATTAAATTATTTCGCGTCATGACGTCGTACTAATTTTTTTGTTTGTCGTGAAACGGTGTTCGGACTTTCTCCATGTGGTAGGCCTATGCGGAAGTCGATAAGGGTGTTGCAGTATTTTTTGATTCAGATTTTCGAAATTCTTTGCCGTTCTCGAGATATTTGAGAGAATATGAATATCGGGACTTGAAGAAATTTCATCAAAAATAATACTTTTCCAATTTTTTCTTCCAGTAAAGAGGAAATTTTGAGTTAGAAATAATGAAGACTTCTTCGTTAGTCGTCTTGATTTCTATAGAATTTTGGGCAAAAATCATGCAATTGTCACTCACCTTTTTTTCTCAACGAACTTAGAATTATTTCGCGTCATGACGTCGTACATTTTTCTTTGTTGTTCGTGATATAATGTTCGGACTTTCTCCATGTGGTAGGTCGTTGCGAAAGTCGACGGGAGTGTTGGGGTATTTTTCGATTCAGATTTTCGATATTTTGTGCCGTTCTCGAGATCTTTGAGGAATTATGAATATCGGGAAAATTTCATCAGAAATAATACTTTTCCAATTTTCCTCTTCCAGTGAAGAGGCAATTCTGAGTACCAATGTATGAAGACTGTTTCGTTGGTCGTCTTGATTTCTATCGAATTTCGGGCGAAAAACATGCACTTGTGACTCACTTCTTTTTTTCAATGAACTCAGAATTATTTCGCGTCATGACGTCGTACTGATTTTTTTGTTTTTCGTGATACGGTGTTCAAACTTGCTCCATGTGGTAGGCCTTTGCGAAAATCGTCAGGGGCGTTGATGTGTTCTTTGATTCAGATTTCCGATATTTAGTGCCGTTCTCGAGATATTTGAGAAAATATGAATATCGGGACTTTGAAAAATTTCATCAAAAATAATACTTTTCCTAAATTTTTTTCCAGTGAAGAGGCAATCTTGAGTGACAATTTATGGAGACTTTTTCGTTGGTCGTCTTGATTTGTATCGAATTTTGGGCGACAAAACATACACTTGTCACTCACCTTTTTCATTCAATGAACTTCGAATTATTTCGGGTCATGACGTCGTACTAATTTTTTTATTTTCCGTGATACGGTGTTCGAACTTTCACCATGTAGTAGGCCTTTGCGAAAGTCGTCAATGGTGTTGGAGTATTCTTCGATTTATATTCTCGATGTTTTGTGCCGTTCTCGAAATATTTCGGAAAATATGAATATCGGGACTTGAATAAATCTTATCAAAAATATTACTTTTCCAACTTTTTTTTGGAAGGATACGTGGATCGAAGAACTGATGTGTTAACCAACGGAATACTTTATTCAAACATGGAATCAATCTGACGATTACAATTCTCAATTATGTCACACTTGACAATCTTTCATAATACATAAAACTAAATAGAATGAGTCACTTATTCTTGAAGTCCTAAGGCAGTTGAACAATACTGATGCTTCATTTTCGGCAACGATTTCGTGAATATATCCGCTACCATTTCAGTAGTTGGCATATATTTTATCACGACTAACTGTTGATCTACTGCATCTCGAATAAAATGATGTCTCATATCGATATGCTTCGATCGTGAATGAAAAACGGGATTCTTTGTCATTTGGATAGCACTCTGGTTATCATTGAAGCTCGTTATACAGGATGGTATCGAGTTACTTAGTTCGGATAGAAACTTTCGTAAGAAAATTCCTTCTTTGGCAGCTTCTGTTAGACTCATATATTCTGCTTCTGCAGTGGATAAAGCCACAGTTGGTTGTTTTTTAGCCTGCCAACTGATTGCTGTACCATTCAAGAGAAAAACATATCCAGAATACGATTTTCTGTCGATGCTATTTCCTACCCAATCTGCATCGGCAAATCCTTCAATATTTGAGTGACTCTTCTTATAATTCAGCTTTAAACTTTCTGTCCCTTTCAAATAGCGCAGAACTCTTTTCGCAGCTTTCCAATGTATTTCCGTATAGCAGGTATTGAATTGACTCAAGTGATTCACCGAAAATGTTATATCTGGACGAGTTGCCAATGATAAATACATCAATTTGCCAATTAGCGACCTGAATGGAAATTTCTTCATTGTTTCATCAGGAACATTCAGTTCTTTCCCCAGTTCAGTAGAAACATCTAATGGAGTAGATATTGCTTTACAGTTTCCCATTCCGTATTCTTTTGAAATTTCTTTCATACAGGGTGTCCCAAAATTGCTGGGACACAGAGCTACCACGTGTAGAGGAGGTCAAAATAAGTTGATTGGACCCAATTTATTTATGTGCCAAAATGTACCGTTTGTCCGTGAGAAGGGTTCAAAGTTCACTTGAAAAAACACATTTTTGTACGCTGTTCAGGAATAAGTGGAACGAATTCGATGGAATTTGAAGATAGTGTATTTCAGAGGATTACTTTCCTTTTGGTGATCTTAGAAACCTGAAAGGAATTGTAGAAGGGTTGAATCCACCCTCACCCCCTGACGTTTTCTTCAGAACTTTTTTAAGAGTCATGATACGGTTCTGAAATTTTTTGAGCGTGAAGACTCATCAATTACCTTCATAGTTTCGAAGAAAAAAATTTTTCTATCAAATAATGCTACCAGATATTCCTATAGTACAAGTTTAATCACATTGTGATATAAAACTTAGTTGGCAGTGGAAACAAGTTTTTTCATAATAAATGTTCAATATGACGCCCACCTCCATCAAAGCAAATATCAATTCGACTTAAAAAATTGAAATGCACCCTCCTCAGGACATCGTCGTTGTCTCGTAGTGCGTCAACGGCATTTTGGATTCTGTTCCACAGCTGTCCGGAAGTATCAATTTGAACTTCATACACTTTTGTTTTCAACGCTCCCCAGATGAAGAAGTCGCACGGATTCAAATCTGGAGACCGCGGAGGCCATTGAATAGGTGGTTCTTGTTCCCTACCAATCTATATATCAGGAAATTGATCGTTCAGATATTGTCTAACTGCACGTGCAAAATGAGGTGGTGCACCGTCGTGCATGAAGAACATGTTTCGACGAACATTGAGGGGCAAATCCTCTAATAAATCTGCATATACATGCTCATTGTGCAGGTTCGTCATGCCACGACGTGTTAAACAGGACTCATCAGTAAAAAAAATATTAGTATGGAATCTGCTGTCAAGTAGTCTGCGCTCCCCAACAATCCGTGAAAAATTTAAACGTGATCCGTGGTCAAGTGATAATAACTCTTGCACAAACTGTATATGAAATGGATGTATTGATTGTTCTCTGCAGATCATATTCACAGTGTTTTTTGATATTCCTGTTTGTCGCTGCACAAATCTGGTACTTTTTTTTATCGCTTGGAGCGCACGAAAGGGAATCCCTATAATGTTCAGAGAACATCGTGCGTTCCTAGAGAGGATAGGGATAGGAGGTAGGTATTGGAATTTTTTTTGAACTTCAGAAGATTATATGTTGTTGGGAATACTTCCTCAGGCAATGAATTCCAGAGCCTAGCCGTTCCATGGATGAAGGAGTTTTGATTAGGTGCTGTTCGACATCTTTCGAGGTTGACAACGAAAGGATGTGCTGACTGGACTTCTATAGTTCGTCTGACTGGTATTGCTAGTAAAGGGATGATAGCAGAGATTTCCGAAGCACATTTCGGGATTGTCATTGATCATTTCAAGAACAGCTTCTTCCGTATTAGGTCTTTGTCGGGGTCTCCCAGCGTTAATTCTGACTGGTTTCAACATTCCTGTTTCTCGAAGACGTGTTTCAATACGGGCAAAAGTTTTATGATTCGGTATTCTCCGGTTTGGATACCTCTCTTGGTATACGCGGGCACTTCTGCGACAGTTACCTTGACAGAATATAAGAACTAAGATCATATCGGTTTGCTCATTATAAGAGGAATCCATATTCGATAGCAGTTGAAATTACAACAACAATTGAATAATAATAAATGGTACCCACGGTAATAACAAAATTGAAGAATTTATTTAAACATTTACAGACAACGTCAACAACAAACTTGAATGACAATAAATTTGTTTCCTGTCGGAATCAGGACTTGCCTTCGTTTTCACTGCCAACTAAGTTTTATATGACAATTCAATTAAACTTGTACTATAGGAATATCTGGTATAGCATTATTCGAGAGAACATTTTTTTTCTCCGAAACTATTTGGTATACGAAATATTTACAAACGTGATAAAATGAAGGTAATTGATGAGTCTTCAAGCTCAAAGTATTTTAGAACCGTATCATGACCCTTAAAAAAGTTCTGAAGAAAATGTCAGGGGGTGAGGGTGGTTTCAACCCTTCTACAATTTCTTTTAGGTTGCTTAGATCACCAAAAGGAAAGTAATCCTCTGAAATATACTATTGCCAAATTTCACCAGATTCGTTCCACTTATTCCTGAACAGCGTACAAAAATGTGTTTTTTCAAGTGAACTTTGAAACCTTCTCACGGACAAACGGTACATTTTTGCACATAAATAAATTGGGTCCAATCAAATTATTTTGACCTCCTCTACACGTGGTAGCTCTGTGTCCCAGGAATTTTATGACACCCTGTATATCTCTCTTGCGATAACTTCATTATTTTCTTGTCCTCAGAATAGTTGAATGATATTCCAAGACAATAATGTAAAAGTCCTAAGTCTTTTATTTTAAATGACCTAGTCAGCTCACTCTTTATTTCTTCCAGCCAATGTTTATTGCGAATGGCCAAAATTATGTCAAAAACATATACAGCTAGTAGCATTATATCCGAATCTCTTCGTGCATTGTAAACACATGGATCAAAATTACAAGGCAGTAGTGTACCTACGTATGCACGAACACAAGATGGCCGCCGCCGGAAGTGACGTCACAAGCGTTCCTGTGGTAGAAGGTGTTGGCTGCACGGAAGTGACGTCACAAGATGGCCGCCGGAAGTGACAGATGACAAGTGACAGATGACAAGTGACAGATGACACGTGACAAGTGACAGACGACAAGTGACAGATGACAAGTGACAGATGACACGTGACAAGTGACAGACGACAAGTGACAGGTGACAGATGCCAGATGACAAGTGACAGATGACACGTGGAAGTACTCTGAACTTAGCCCCCTAGACTCTGGACTCTAGAGCTTATGGATGTGTCCTAGGACATTCTTCTTCTTCTTTTTGAAAGGTAGTTAATGACGTCACAATCTAGTGACTTTGCCCACCAGAGTTAGGTTGGTATCACTACAATTGGTAGCACTTTGTTTCAAGGTCACCCGATATGCATGTTGCAGGTGGTCGATGAGTCATCCTTATCTCGACTTCGTAGAACAATGCCTCCTTTGTTTGCCATATATTATCTAGCCTTCCTCTAGAACAATGCCGCCTTTGTTTTCTCTATACCACTGTCAGCGT